GGGGGTGGGGGGGAGTGTGAGGGGGGTGTGGGCCACCACCAGGACCTGGTGGGGTGCTCAGTCCATTCCCGTTCTGGCTCTCAGAGGCTAGTTGTGGGAGAAGGGGAAGAAAAACCGGAATTAGTGAACTAAGGTAGGCAGGCATCCATCCCCAAGGCCTGCCTCCAGCCCCAGCAGGCAGCACAGTCTCCACCAAGCACAACTGCACATTGATGCTGTGGGACCAAGTGCAAAGAATGTGAATTGTAGGAATGGGGCCCCAGAGAAGATGCAATCATCATTTTGGCAGTTGCTACATGAACTGTCGTATTTCTTTCTTTTTTTTTTTTTAATTGTTTTTTTTTTTTTTGTCCCTCTGATTTTACACCCATTTAAAATTATAAACCTTCTCCCTGCCCCTGGACTCCACGCTATCCGCACTTTATTCTTTGCATCTCATGTATCGCATTATATACTATATTATGCTACATAATATAAGATCTTATCTCTCTATTAGTTAAGTAGTTAATTACTTTTTTTTTTTTTTTGGCTGCGCCACGCAGCTTGTAGAATCTTAGTTCCCCAGACTAGAGACTGAACCTGGGCTCTCAGCCGTGAAAGCGCAGAGTCCTGACCACTGGACTGTGGGGAATTCCCGACATTTTTTTTTTCTCTTCTATCCATCTCTGTATCATTAGGAGTCAGATCTAGAATTAGCTGTTTAGTTCTAGGCTCAAGGACCACCGACAAAAGATCCCTTGACCAAAAGTGACTGTAAGACTGGAGAAGCATTGGGAAAGGAAGGGCCTGAAGTTTCTATCTTAAAATGTAAGAAGGATCTTAAAAAAAAGAAAGAAAGAAAAAAGTGTGGTGGTGTGTATCACAATGATACATGTTCACTTGGGAAAATAGAAATAAGAATAAGCAAAAAAACTATTATACATACTCTCACACCCCCAAAATAACAGACATTTTTGTGTATATTTTCAGTGTTTGATGGTTTCCTTGAACTATCTTAGCTGTGCAAATCATTATCACCACACTTACCACAGTGTGTTACAACTGTTGTCTGTGGGACTATTTCTTTCATGGACTGCAAGCTCCTCAAGGCAAGTGCTATGTTTTTTCCTTGGCATTCCTCATCTATAAATGCTTGTTAAATGAAGGCAGAGGCCTGCCTCTCACATACATAGGGCGTCATGAACCCTAACCATATCCCTGCTGAATCCTTCTGCTCCATCAGACTAAGATATATGCAGCCAAAATGGAAGAATAAAGCCCCTTCCTTAATTCACAGAAAAAATGAGGAGTATGTAGAAAGTCATTATTTTTATGCCACACATGTTTTTTAAAAACCTTCTGTACCTGTTAGCAGATGACAAAGTGAATAAACATTTGGCAAATGAGTATTAGGGACAAACAGGCTTAAGTGTACCTTATTTAAAATAATTTTCTAAATTATGGAGTTATGGAGACCTGAGAATACGTAATAGTCATATTTTCAGTTGAAAACATGGATGCTACTTTTTTGTGGTGGAATTAAATGTTGTTATTTCATGGTGTTTCTAAAAAACACTGTGACCCTGAGTGGTTCTGACACAGACAATTTTGGAAACCATGGTAACTGGGGATGCAAACACAGACTGAGGAAGGGTAGAGGAAGCCTGAAGCCTAGTGTCACAGGGAGAAACATAAGGCATGGATCAGAGGCAAGAGAGAGACAAACACCCAGGAGTGGTAGGGTCAGCTGCGAGATGACCCAGAAGGAGAAAAGAGCAATAAAAACCAGGTTCCTAAGGAGAAGCCAGGAGACGAAGGAAATGATGTTGGTGAGTGATTCTAATCAAAAGCTGATGATCTGCAGTAAGCCAAATTCCTCAAGAGACCAAAAGCAGGGGCTTCTGAGTTGGAAGAACCATAATCCTGAGGGCCAAGGCCTAGAAGCAGGGCCTTTTCAAGAAAGTGGCAACCCTAAAGGGGAACTATTTAGTGCTTAAAGTTGTGCAGTGTGGACTCCATGCTGAGTCCTATAAGTAACAGTGTATCAGAACTGATAATGAATCAAAATAGGCAAGGGGAAAAAAGGCAAGGTTCTGCCAGAGAAGAAGCAGAGAGGAACAAGCTAGAATGAAAGAGGGCAGTCTTTGTGGAGAAACTGCTCTCATTTTTGCCTTTGAGTGGCAGTGGCAAAAGGGAGCTCTATCAGTGATAGAAACATGGCCCCAAATCTTTTCACCCCAGGGACTTGCAAAAGAACTGGGAGAATTGGGTGCAAGAGGATATATTGAGAGAAGAGAGATCTGGAAAAGGGATGAGGGCAATGCATCTTTCCAGGCTGGGGAGATTAGAACTAGGAGGACCCGTGGATGGAAGGAACAGGTTTACCTGGAGAAGTGGCGGGGGGTCCGGTGGTAGGCTGGGGAGCCGTAGGGCTGCTATCGTTCTGCACCTGAAGGCACAAATGACACATTCAGACCTTACTCCCTACCATGCTCCTTGGCCTGACCTGCCCTCCTTCCGCACATCACAGCCATGGGACTCACCGTCTTGTTGGGTGCCTGCTGGGCACTGTATTCTGGATTTGGCTCACTGAAGTTAGGAACCTCAGAATAAACCATACAGAATCTGCAAGGGGGAGAAAGTGGCAAAGCCTCAGGCCCAACCTCTGGGCTACTCTGGAAACCTCAGAAAGGTCCAGGTACAGGACAGGGAATGCACACCCTTATGCTGTCTCCTTGCAAACCTCAAACTTCTCTCCTTGGCCTGGTGCTTCTACATCCCCAGCTCCAAGACAGCACTTACTCTCCAATCTTCTGAAGATCACCCCCACGGCCAGTGTACAATGTCAGACAACCTTTGAACACTGAAGCGTACCTGTGGGGTCACAAAAAGCAGGA